TGTATACCTTGAGGAGGTTCCAGGTCAACGAGAGCAATATATTACATGCATGCATGAAGCAGACGTGTAAAGGGCACACCAAAAAAAGTGTTGAAAAATACTAGTGCATTCCTCTGGATCGGTGTTGTGGCGCAGACACCCGGCTCAAGGGTCATTAAAAGCCAGCTGAAACACAAATGGTTAAGAAAACAAAGTAAAAGTACGCTGAGAAGAACGTAGGTATGTTCTCTTAGTGTCTGTATTCGCCATAAGTGATCTCTCCCTCGGCCTCTGATACCTTCGTGGAATACGACTGCACACGTCATTCTTGATTTTAGTTTATACGAAGCCAGCCGGCACGATTTTGCCGTTACAGATGTGAGAGTCGCATGCATGCCATTAATAGAAAACACATTTGGAAGTCTACCTGTGTTTTTTCTACCACTGGCAGATCGGTAAAACCACAGATGTGGACTTCATGGTAGCAATAGAGGTCAAAGAAGTAGTAGGCTGTTATTCACGGATTTAATGGACTTCTCATTTAGTGCCACCAGTCGTGATCGCATCCATATTGCCTTACAGCAGATCTATACAATGACACCCTATGGTTCCATGTGTTGAGAGATATCTCTAGTCTAAGTGCCGGTAGGAAAAGTCAATGCATCCCTCACTTTCACCCTACTACAGCATTGCCCTCTGTTAAAAAGCTGTTACCGTAAATCTGAATAAAATCAAGGCTCACCGAGAAACTGAATATCTTAAATTCACGTTTGTGGCATTTGTCATTATTTAAGGTTAAACCTAATTGTAGTCGTGCAGGATTTACACCCTGTCCATTGCTCAAACCAGTGGATTATAGGCTTTATAACATATTTTAATTTTTCTGGAAAAGAGGCTTTGCAGCATTGTCTCAATTTACAGCCGCCCAGGGATGTAATAAGAGTATTTCCAGAAGCAATTGAAGGTGGTGTGTGTATGCATATATTTCTCTGTTGAGTGGGGACTTTTTTTCCCTCACAGTCACGTTGTCGATGCATTGCCATGCCGCCCCAGGCTTCTAATGTTCACTGAAGTCTCTGGCATATGGAATATCGCACGGGAAAATAGTGTTGTTTTTAATTGGCTGCATTACAGTTACTAAGAACATACGGATCCATAGAGGAACGTCATGTCAAATGCTTGGTATTTTATACATGCTGTGTTGTATAACTGCTTTTCTAAATCATGGTGATATTACTCAAATTAAATTGGAAATGAGTCACGAAGCATGTGTCACACTGCCGGCGTGTGTGTGTGTGTGTGTATGTGTTTGTGTGTGTTACCAGGTGAGTTACCATAGTAATCTTTCTCTCACTTCTTGGCCCTTTTGATTTTCTGTGTATGAGTTGCCACAGAAACTGACTTATTCCTTTCCCTGTAGCTTTTGCACCATTGTCCCTTTGTCCAAAATAGAACAGACACCACATGCTGCAGAGCGCTGTGCTGTCCAAGCGGCATTAATCATCTAACTGCGTGGGAGAAGTCATGAATCTTTCCAGTGTGACTTCTGTCATATGCACCAATTACAACACAATAAGTGCTAAAGACCTCACTAAATGCAAGATTCACACTTAAATATACATAACAAGTATACTAAGAAAAACAATTATACACTCTCACTAACAGTCCACAAATGTTAATATTGATTCCACTATACAATTATCTTTATGATTGATTAATTTACTTGCATTACCGTGTCACTTATCACATCATTTTATATTATTATTATTATTATTATTATTATTAATATTTATTTCTATTTCTTGTTGCACCATTTTATTTATATTTTATTAATTATTTTCTTGCCCAATTTTATTTATATATATTTATTTTTCTTCTTGTATACTTTCTTTTTCTTTCTATTTCTTTTAGCAATATTTTTACCTTTTTTCATGTCTCGAGTATCTAGTAGGCTACTTTGACTTTGAATAGCAAATAAAAGATTTTTTGCAAGCTGTTGTTTGCTTTGATAAACACTTAAATCACTCTTTGCATTTTTATCCCAGACGTGTCTAATTCTTGTTTTTCTCTCCTCTCTGGAAAGCATATTCGTGATTTATCGCGGTTTATTTCTGCTAATGCTTAACTGCATTACGTGTAGCAAACTGCCCGTAAATACCATTTATTAAAGTTGTGATTATCTGATTGGATCTGCTGAGCCGTTCCAGCAAACAACATCTGTGGGGGGTGCGATGGCTCTAATAAATACAGAGGGAAACAGATGATGGCCGTTGTGTGAAGGCATAGCAACCAGCTCTATTTTGGAGACAAACATAAGGAGTTAAAGGATTGTGACAGGGGCTGCATGGCAGATTTGTCTCTATACAGGCTGTTCAAACAGTGTTACATCTCGCTAAGCGTGCACGTCACACTGAGGGCCGCGGTAATGAATGTTTTGCTTCCAGAGGTATTTAGTGTTACAGTACAGTTTGTGAGATGAGCGGTCTGAGCGGTGAATGAATGAACGGATGGCTTTTAAATGGGATTGTTGGCGTGATCTCATTCACTTCATTGGGTCTAACGATAATGACATCCACCTGTGCTTTGTAGCCTATTACCGCAACGAGCTAATTAGCATTTAGACACAGCTGAGAGTGAGGAAACCACCACTTGAATAGATGACTGTTTGTGACTGGATGTGTTTTCTTACTGGGGAGGATGAGAAAAAACATGAAGCTTTACTCTTCAGGAGTAACCATGACGTCAGAATCAAGCATTTAAAAAAATGAACGTTATAATTTGCTGCTGATTTCAATGTAAAACTACTAAATTGAAACATGCAACAGCAAAATGATTGGCCACAGGGAAATCTGAATTACAGCCAACAAAACACCACAAAACATAATCTAATATGACATTTTGTGAGGAATATATCACAAGATAACAAGATATGTTTGAGATATGGTGTCTTTTAGATGGCTTTATCATGCAAGACAAATGATATAACATTTAACAGGGATGTACTTTGCCAAAAGTTCAACTTGCGGGTTGGTTTTGGAACGTCTCGATTAGTATTTGAATGCATGTCCCACAGGCCTTCAGCTCATTGTAGCAAGAGTCCAGCAGTGATGCCAGGATTTATTTTGGCCCCTTCGCTCTCCTGTCAGCATTCCTCGGGTTGACGCTCAGAGAAGTGAAGCTCATCCATCCCCTTCAGAGATCCTGCTGGGAAGAACCAGCTCGACCGAGGAGAGGCCTCTTATTTAGCTTTTCCAACGGTTTCTCTTTTCTTATGCTGTGTGTGTGTGTGTGTACAGGCATGTGTGTGCGCCCCCTCAAGCTGTGTGTGAGGTCAAGCGTCAGGGAAAAGGGTTTCCTCAGCCAGCGATAAGGAATGGCATACACTCAAACAGCTGGACTAGTGCTCTATTCAGAAAGGGCAAATCGCGTTTCACTGGACTCGTGACACACACACACACACTCACACACTCTCTCTCACACACACACACACACACACACACACACACACACACACACACACACACACACACACACTCTATCACACACACACACACACACACACACACACACACACACACACACACACACACACACACACACACACACACAGGTGGCTCTCCAGGTTGCCCGTGTTCACATCTTGTTTTCTTCCCAAGGCTGAATGATGGCTCTGTTGCTTCAGTGCATCGACATAGGGTCAAGAGAGTTGAGGGGGCGGGAGGAATGACTTCAAGATAAATATTGTCGATGGAGGCCAACTGACACAAAGGGTGTTTCTCAATGTCGAGGACGCTTCCTTGGTAGGACATGTCCCTCCGAGTCAGGTCCTTCAGAGTCAGGCAAGTGTCCTTCCTTTCATTCTGAGAACAAAGAATGGAACAGGCTAGCAAGTGTGCGTCATATGCGAGGCCCCGCCTTACATTTTCCGCCAAAGATTTTGGAAATTGGTCCGTGCGCAAAGCATTGTGGGGATTTTAAGACCGCGGAGGATACACTGGTGCATCCTCAAAATGTCCCGCAACGAAGGATTCAGACAGTCCTCGGTAGAATTCCAAGGATCCTGGACATTGGAACAGTCCTTCTGCGGGATTCTATGACGTAGCATCCTTGAAATAGTGGCTCTGGAGGAGCCTTCCTCGACATTGAGAAACACCCAAAGTCTTCACTGTGTCAGACAGACCCGTTTAGAATAAACATTTCTCAAGTGGCAGCATGATGAAATTCAATTTTTTTCAAACTGATGTGAAGAGCATATAAACACAGACACATTAGAGCACACTTGTAAGCCCTCTGTCTGGATAAGGCATTAGATAAATTGTCTCCTCTCCTTCCCTCCCCCCTATTTCTTAACCTCTCCCTCTTCCTGACCTCTCCTCTCCGTAGACGCAGAGGAATGCATAACCAGAGATTCAGATGACTCAAATGTTCATCAAAGCCAAAGCGCTTTTTGTTTTTTTACAGCAATTCATTGCAATTCCCTTCAATTCAGTTCCACCTTGATCACAGATTAAGGCAAAGCTGCAAAGTAAACCTGTCTGCGGCTGAAAAATAAGTGCTGTGACTCAGACTGCTTTCTATACGCTCTGGGCCCATGTGCGATGTATTCTTAACGCTGGTTCACGTGTGTGGAAAGCATATTGCAATGCCATCAGTGCACGGCCACTTCATGTCCTCACATGCTCCTTTTTTCCTCTGCACACACTGTCCCTGTCAATCTGTTTGTGTAGGCTACTTTCATTTAAATCATCCTCGTCTTGCACTCGTGGCATTTTGTAGACTTTTTCTATTTTTTTCCACTGTTATTGTTGGTTGTCCGACATGATCCACTCCCAAGCTCATCATCTATGAGAATAACATAAAACAAGTTAATTGAAAACGTTTTTAAAAGAATGCAAAGGCCAGAGGTTAACTCCGTTTCACATGCATCGAGCCCAGTGAACCTTCATCTAAGATGGAAGAAAAACAACAACATCTACTTTTGAATTATTCCACTAACGATGATCTATCCTCTTTCTCCCCAGGGTGACTTCACCTGGAGCAGCCTGTCGGGGCGGAGCGTGCGCCTGGCACCGGTTTCCATCCAGAGCCTGTCGGAGCTGGAGAGGGCAAAGCTGCAGGAAGTAGCCTACACCCGTTTACACCAGGACTATGATCTGGGATGCCAGATAACCATGCCAAAAGGTGGGAGCATGTGTGTGTTTTTCACGCATGTTGCAGGCCAGAGTCAAACAGTTTCATAATCTGTACGTCTGTTGGTTCCGAATGGGTGGGATTTACTGCTTCAACATACCTTAGATAGCATCGTTTTTTCAAGACCCTGACGTTTATGTTAACTGTGACGGAACACATAATGCGAGCGAACTCCGGAACTGTTGCAAACGCTCTCCATTTAATATTCTTGACCCGGGTTTGGGGTGTAAAGATTAAGCAGACACTTTCAACAGCCCCATAAAGTAGGAGCCTCTGACCACATCCTCCTCAAGTGTGTTTAAGGGAAGTCATCTATGCTCTGTGTTTGGGGAAGTTGTGACAACACATGAATCTCGATGTAAACCGAACTTCACATTGGGATCGGGGGCTTCCTGTTTGACCCCCCTCCAAGTAACGACACGCGACTCCCTTGCCGCTGAGTGCAGTCACCCCGCTCCAGCATGTAAAGCCTATTAAAATGTCCTAAATGTTGCTTAACAGGCTCTATTTATCTTTGTGGCTCCATCTTAAAGCCAAACAACTATATTTGGGGTTTGTAAACCAAGCCATTATTTGAAAAAGGGTTTGGAAAATGACAAAATTGGAAACATTAATCCAGAAATAGCAGAAATGGGCAGAGCGCTGCACTGAAACTGGAAGAGACGGTGGTTTTCCAACTGGGCACGCCTATGCTAGAAATTTCTATGAATCAGAGTTTATACATAGAAAAGGAAATATACATAATTCCACTCAATTTAAAACAAAACTCGGTACGCACCTTCATAATCCTGTTATCAGTATGAATAATGCACCACATTTTTTAAAGCAGGATTTATATTAAAGGGGACCTATCATGCAAAATGCACTTTTGTACGTCTTTCCTACATGAATATGTGTCCCCGGTGTTCCAGGGAACTCACCAAGTGTCAGAAAACACAACCCTCTCTATTTTCCTCCATACCCAAATCTCTTAAAAAGGGGCTGCAACGGATCTGATACAGACTGTGAAGCTAACCGTTGAGCGGCCCCGACCAAGCAAGGAGGCAGAGGCAGAACGTCCAAAATTATAACCCGGTGTGGGCATTTATTAAAACATGAACATACTGTATTACACACAGCCTCAATCCTGCTGCTGCTGTTCACGTGAGCCCAGCCTGCAGCCACCAGGATCTCACACCCCCTTTCCTAACAAGAAAACAGCACCTAAATACACACACAGACTAACAAGACACAGGTGGGGGGGAGGAGCAAACACAGGGCACCAGGTGAACACAATCGGGTAATCAGCAGGAAGGAACACAGAGACGACCGGAAGCAACAGACAAGATGGGGGTTAGCACTTATACAATTAATGCCATTTGATAAATACTACATCAATAAATTATATAAACATGTTAACAAGAGCTTTAGTAACGGCGTCTCGTCGTTACATTCCCCCCCTTTTCTCCGAAAGCGCACAGTACCTCAATTCTCATGTACCCGGGATAGACAGTCTTGGCTTCCTTCAAGTCCTTGAGTTTCTAGAACGGACACACTAGGTCCCTCCCTTGAGGCTATGGACACACTAAATCCCTCCCCAAGGCTATGGACACACTAAATCCCTCCCCGAGGCCATGGACACACTAAATCCCTCCCCGAGGCTATGGACCTAATATATCCCTCCCCTGAGGGCTATGGACACACTTTCAAACGTTGTCATAAAGTGCTCAATATCATTCAACTTCAGGAGTGAGTGGCATTAACTTGGGGTCTCTACGGAAGTGTGGTGCTCTTCTCCCCAATGGCGGCTCATTCCTCCGGTCCGATCGGTCTGCTCGTAACCTGAGCTCCTCCCCGTCGTCCTCATGCACCGTCATCTGGCTCCATCTGTTGCACTGGCTTCTTTGTTCCTCCTCAAAGTGTTTGTTAGGCCTTTACTTCTGAAACCACTTGTGAAGCTGTTTTGGCCTGGCCTTGTCTCTCGTCTCCTGCTGCTTGTCTCTCGTCTCCTCCTGCTTGTCTCTCGTCTCCTGCTGCTTGTCTCTCGTCTCCTCCTGCTTGTCTCTCGTCTCCTCCTGCTTGTCTCGCGTCTCCTGCTGCTTGTCTCTCGTCTCCTCCTGTTTGTCTCTCGTCTCCTCCTGCTTGTCTCGCGTCTCCTCCTGCTTGTCTCTCGTCTCCTCCTGCTTGTCTCTCGTCTCCTGCTGCTTGTCTCTCGTCTCCTGCTGCTTGTCTCTCGTCTCCTGCTGCTTGTCTCTCGTCTCCTGCTGCTTGTCTCTCGTCTCCTCCTGCTTGTCTCTCGTCTCCTGCTGCTTGTCTCTCGTCTCCTGCTGCTTCAGCAGCCGTGGCCCCCTGGTCAGTTCCAGGCATAGCCACCCCCAGCCGCGGTTCCTCTCTTTGGTCCCTCTTCTTTCCTCTCGTCAATTTGACCTCCTCACTTGGTCGAATCCCACTTCTGACACCAACTGTGAAGCTGAGCGTTGAGCGGCCCGACCAAGCAAGGAGGCAGAGGCAGAACGTCCAAAATGATAACCCGGTGTGGGCATTTATTAAAACATGAACATATTACACACAGCCTCAATCCTGCTGCTGCTGTTCACGTGAGCCCAGCCTGCAGCCACCAGGATCTCACACACACCCTTTTTCCTAACTAGAAAACAGCACCTAAATACACTTGAGGAACGGCTAAAATGCATGATCTGTTTGGTATTTTGAAAAATAAAAAGTATAAATATGCCTTATATAGGTATGGTCCTACACTATATTATTCAAATATAGCATGATAGGTCCACTTTAAACTCATTTTAATTGGCACAAGATCTCAAAATCAAACATAAATGAAGTAGTAAGTAGCATTCCCTGCACTATAGGAGTGCAGTGAGCGCCATAGCAGCGGTACGGCGGATTATCCAGGGCCTGCATTCCAGCTGAAGGTTAAACCTCTCCCCACCATGATTTAAAACGCACTTGTCTGTGTTGCTTATGAATTCCAGAGCCCCTAACGGCCGCCATGTGCTAGTTGGAGAAATATTTCAACATGTGTGTAAGACTTGTGTGTGGGTTCACTAATGTGGGCTTCTTCAGCCCCGCTGTTTCGCATATTCATCTGAGCCCAGGGGTCGTGTTTCTAAGTGTTCTTCAAGATCGAAAAACAGATTAGGGAGAGATAAAACTGAGAGATACAAAGAAAGATGGGTTGAGGGTTTGATGAGATGAGAAAGAAGCAAAGGTTCCTCAGACACTTTCACAACTGGTGGGGAGTTGAAGTAGGGAGGTTTGGAGGTTCGGGGGATTTCCGTACGGCTTTGGGAGCCATCTGTCAAAAAATCCAAACCATTTCCTATCCTTGCTTCTCCCCACCCTAACTCTCCATCACAACATCTGCTTTCCCTCTCCCATCTCACACCCCTTCCTCACTGCTCCCCACATATTTCTCTCTCTAAAATGTCTCTTCTTGTGCTTCTGACTCCAAGCTGCGGTTTTTATTTGCAGCTTTAAAAAGGAGCTGACGTTTCTCGTATATCACTAAAGTGGCTATAAATCGATTCTCGAACAACAGCAGGGATGTAGTTACACACGATTGGGGGAACCGAACCTGTTGCCTGACGCAACCCGCAGCGTGTTGTTGGGGCTGGATGCATTTTTCTGAATCCCCCCCAGTGACTCATTTGATACAGCTGAAAGGGAACATCTCGGGGTTCATACTAAGGTTGCTAAACCAGCACATCAAAGCAAAGAACGATGTGTACAAGGGATTCGGGTACTTCAAAAAACAAGCAGCACAGTGACCGAGTGATGACTTTAAAAGCTGCTGAGGTTTTCACAAACTGACATCCTTGAGACTTTAAGGTCGCCAAGGTCTCCAGATTTCCTTCGTCATTAATCAGAAACTTCTGGAGTCATTTGTCATGTTGACAGCTGACAGACGGCTTTCCTCCTTTGGAGCCATAAACGTGGATGTTGACGTAGACAAAAAAACATACCACATATTTGGGAGTGTAGATAAACAATAGCAGCCCTTTTAATATGTTTTTCTGCTGGCTAATACCATCTAAACCTGTCTGATGTTTCAGTGAAATTGATTAAAACAGCTATCCCCCGTGGTTAATTTACGTCTGCATTCCTGACATAAACTTATCAGATATAATAAGAGGGATTCAGCAGATATGGAAACCATTTGTTACACATGATTTATCTTCCTGTTTTTTTCCCTCCAGATGGACAGAAGAGGAAAAAGTCACTGAGGAGGAAGTTGGATTCGCTTGCAAAAGAGAAGACCAAGGACAAAGGTACGCCAAGTCATTTGAACACACACTCTCTTCTCTCAGTGTGTGTTTGTCACAGCCGGTGAGACAGAACCAGTCTGTGGCCTCCGCCCCTCAGGCAGGTGAACAGAGAGGTTATAAAAACACTTTCTGTTTACCAGGCTTCGACAGTTTATATTTAGCTTAAGTGCAGGGACTCCTTGTAAGGGGCCTGGCTCTGAGAAGGAGCCACTCTTCTGCACTAAGCAAAGCATATTTGGCAGAAACAGAATCTTAGTCAAAGAAGCCCAGTTGCAGAAAGGAGAAGGAATCAGGCTTTTCATAACACATTTGTGGTCTCGTTTTGCAAAAATAAATAACAAGGAAAGGTCAAAAATAAGCAGATTTTTGCTTAGCCTGCAGTGTTTTTACATTACTGACTTCTAGAAGTAAGTACACATTATTTATGCTACATAGAATCAGTAGTTTAAGGCAATAAACAAAAGTACTCACGCATTCATCAGACTTTGTCAAGTATTATCGAGAAAACTAATGACTGGTATGTTATTCATCATAATCATAAATACTAAAAGCATTGTTTATTCATATTTTGGAGCAATACATGAGGCTTTTTTCTGTGTTATCTTGGATCAAGCATTATTTCCTGCTCTAATAGAAGGCTGAGAAACAGCTGTGGAGTTTCATATTGGAATGATGACGAGGCTGCTGCAGAATGTCGCAGCTGTGTTGTCTGAGAAAAAAACGTTTTGATTATCTTGAGGGCAAACAATCAGTGTTATTCCCAGAAAAACATTCATTGTAGGACTTTGAGTACTACAATGAATGTTTCACTTATTTCAGGGTGAATCTCTGACTCTAGTTGAGTTTTTACCACCACTACCTGCCTGGCTCCAGAGCAGATGGCCCAGATGTATCTGTGGTCCAACCTGCCAAATGGATTTGAAATTAAAATGTCTCCCAAGGTCCGGAGTACCAGCCCTGCATTTCACTTTGAAGCAGGCTAATCTCTCTGCAAGAGAGAATAAAGCAGATTGCCGGCTCTTTTGATGCAGCCACAGTAATCTGAGCTCAGTTATTGCAAATAAGGTTGAATAAATAATCTGCATTGAGTCCTTTATGGGTACATTTACCTCACTTAGAATCAATTGCCCTATGGCCCTATTCAGTTTTTGGTGGTTTTCCCTCTCCTGTAGTTTGTTATATATGAAAATTAGAATAATAGGGGACCCTTTAAGATGTACAAATTGGCCTTGTGTGGGAAACTCATAATATCACACTTTATGAATGGTAAAAAGTAAAAACATGTGACGTAACTTATAACTTTCTGGACTTTCGCCATAGACTTAAACACATCCAGTTATTATGAACACACGGACATGAATAAGAAATAATCGTAAAAAAACTGATGCTGTAGGCCTGTAAAATGTAGATTTATGAACATCTGACATGTGTTCTGGCTGTGTTTGCACTGTATAGTATGCAACCCAGATTGTGTGTGTGTGTGCATGTGTGTGTGTGTGTGTGTGTGTGTGTGTGTGTGTGTGTGTGTGTGTGTGTGTGTGTGTGTGTGTGTGTGTGTGTGTGTTACATAAGCTTTGCTAACGCTGTGAGGCTGCAGAGCAAATTGGTTGTGTCACAGTGTTAGTGGTCATGTTGTTCCTGAACACAGCCCTCCACTTGTGGAATGCATTTTGCTTTCACTCCCTGTTTTAATTTTGCCGCTTTTCCACACACACACACACACACACACACACACACACACACACACACACACACACACACACACACACACACACACACACACACCGAACAGCTGGACTGTGTTTCTCAGCTGTTGGCTCTGGCTTTGGGATTCTGCATAATGAAATATATAGCCTGTGATGGGCTAGTATGACATCATTCCTCCCATGCATCCCTCAGCAGTACACACATTTGCACGAGTCCAAAGTGAATTGCTATGGTTTTGCTTCACCAGATTTTGTATATAAACCCTCACTCAGTTTAGAATACATCTGTTATAACTTCTTTCCGTAACAAACTAGAACAAAGATGGAGTTGGTTGATGCATATGTGTCAGTGCTGTGAAGCTTGTGGGTTAGAGTAATCAACGTTGTGTTATTTTGGTCAAAGCAATTTAGTGGTCTGTCACAACCAGATGTGTTTTGCTTACTTTCCTCCTGTGATGCCTTATTTTGCAAAACAGATGTAGTGCGATAGTGATACAAGAGTTTTAACTGACATAGTAAAAGTGTGGGGATCTCTCTCTAAGAGTGTTCGATGTTAGAAGTTTCTATGAGCTATTTTTGGAAGTTGATTCTTCTTCTTGCTGTCAACTAGTTCAATAATCTTGCCCTTCCTTCTCTCTTTCCTCCACCTCCCTTTCTTTTCCCAGAATGCCTACCCCAGGCCTTCAGTATTGTGCTATCCCAAGTCATTGCTAATGACAGAACGCAGAGGCAGCGCCAGGACAGCTATCGTCAGGACCATCAACATCGCGGGGACCACAAGGACTCCTCTGACCTCGTCTCGTCCATTTTACAGGTCCTAATTGAGGCAATTTAACGACAAATGTAACCTTATTGAAACATAAATAATAAGACACATTTTCCCATTGAAAAGGAAAAACCAATTAAATTCTTGTATGACCTCTCCTGCAGTTTGCCACCAAGCGGTCGTCCAATAAGGAGTTATCCAGCAGTAACTCGTCTTTGAGTTCTACATCGGAAACAGCCAATGAGTCAACGTCCCCCAACACGCCTGAGGCTCCACCACGAGCACGCAGGAGGGTGAGACAGAATAACAGAATTAATTAATTAATCCCAACAGGTGTTTCTGTTTTATCAACCTGTCAGAATTCAATTCACAATTATCCTCCAGGGAGCCATGTCAGTGGACTCGATCACGGACCTGGACGACAACCAGTCCCGGCTGCTCGAGGCCCTGCAGCTGTCTCTGCCGGCAGACACGCCGAGCAAGAAGGAGAAGCACCGGGACAAAAGGCTGAGCCTGAATCCCATCTACCGGCAGGTTCCCCGGGTGGTGGACAGCTGCTGTCAGCACATCGAGAAATACGGTGAGTGTCTACTTCACCCTGTCCCAAACATATCTGCTATTGTTCTGCAGCAGGTGCTAGAGACAGCTAGTGTTTTCTTCCTCCTCTCAGGTCTGCAGACGGTGGGGATCTTTCGCGTGGGAAGCTCCAAGAAGAGAGTTCGACAGGTGAGCGTTCTCAATTGTTTACAGACACTCAAAATCTCCCAGAGGTGTTCAATTGGGTTGGGTTTCTGGCAATGACTCAAAGGCTTATTTTGTAGATAGTAAAAGTGATGAGACATGGGAATCAGAACCCGCATTTGCCACCATTGTCAGCCTACTGTGAAACAGGTACATTTGTCAGTATGCTATGCAAAGAAAACAACCCCTATATGTATATCATGGTCGTCTATAGACTAATTATCTGGAAGTCATCCAAAGGGCACATCGTAGAGATTGGGAGAGTGTGTGTAGAATATAGCGTCCTTAATATGTTGAGGAAGTTCCTGAGTTCTTAATCTCTGTTGTGTCCCACTTTCAGCTTCGTGAGGAGTTTGATCACGCAATTGATGTGCAGCTGGACGAGGACCAGAGCGTTCACGATGTGGCTGCTCTGCTGAAGGAGTTCCTCAGGGACATGCCTGACCCTCTTCTCACCAAGGAGCTCTACACGGCCTTCATTAACACCACATGTAAGCTTCTGTTCCTTCCTTCTGTTTCTCTGTCCCAGATTCTACCTCTTTAACCCAATCCCCTCTTAATCTGTGTTGCAGTGCTGGATTCAGAAGAGCAGCATAATGTCACTCAGCTACTCATCTACCTGCTCCCAGCATGCAACAGTGACACTCTCCACCGCCTCCTGGATTTTCTGTACACCGTGACCGACCACGCTCATGATCGGCTGGACAAAGACGGACAGGAGGTGAGCGAATGATATGACCAGGAAGAAATGATGTCCAAAACACCCACAATGTGGCGTGCAAACACGTGCATGTGGGCTACCGTTATGTTTCCGCCTCATTGGTAGGAAATTCCCAAAGGCGTGATAGCATCAGTTAGTGTGGCTGGTATGTACACATATTCCTTCATGCCTGTTGAGCATGCGACAAGCGTTCTGTATTCAAGTTTAAGGCAGAACTAGTGTAAATGTCAAGAAAGTCATAACGTGTTTGTGGCTCCCGAGGGATTAATGTCACAAAAAATAAACTGTCGGTTTGGAAAGACGAAGTGACATCATGATCTGTGATGATTTAATATTCCACTTCCAGCTCCACACACCCGTTAGCTTTTATAATTCCTAAAATATGAATTAATGTGTGTGTGTGTCAGGAGAGAATCTGTGAGGCTATGAATCCCACCACTCCGTGCAATCGAGTGTGTGTGAGAAGCAGAGAGTGTGTTTTGGCAGATGGATCTGTGTTTTGTCGTCTCAAGCAACGATGTGTGTGTTTTACGCTCACCCGGGAAAAGAAACATGAATACTTTTGGATGCTTATGGCTCCAATCTCTCCTTTGGGATTGGGAGTGGAAAGGGAGGAAACTGGGAGAACATCAAAAATAAGACTTTCTCTCAAGTCTTGAAGGGCTTGTAACTTAAGATAGTCATTGTTTAACAGGATGTACACCATTACCCAACCCTGGTAGAAACAGATTCAGCTTTCACACACTCTGACACCTTCAGTGTTGGCAAGCCCCATGTGCCGTTAGAGAAGAAGAGGCAGGAGGAACGAGATGAAACGTCTCCAAGGAGCCTGTGGATGCAGCAAAACAGTGTGATGTCACTCTGTAGTTCTTTACACCTCCACAGGGCTACTAGCTCGGCTGTGGACTCTCAGTGTCATTAACTGATTTTCATTGTTCGTTCATACATTGATGCAGTCTTGTAAAAAAAACAAAAAGCAAACAAATTAACAAGACATGATATTTTATTATTTATAAGAAAAATATATGCTAGAGGGGGTAGGACCAGAAACGTTTTTTTTTAAGCTTCTTCTTGCCCCTGTTGAACATGACAGAGACTATTTGAGAATTATTATTGTTTTTTTGTTGTTGTTTTTTTTGTACTTTGTTATAATTATTCATTTGAGTGAGAAAAAAAGGAAGAAAAAAAAATAAAATTATTGTTGTATGTTTTTGTTTCTGACATGTTCAATAAATTGACTAAAAAAAAAAGTCTAACCAGCTGCCTAACACTGTCATAAATAACGCATTTATCCACAAATGTCCATCCACATAGGTAAATTACCCCTATACAGTCTTTTCAAACCAAAATAAGTCAGCATTTTGGGTTAAAATATCTACAAAAGTGGCATTATTTATGTATGGAAGGAACATCTATCAATTCTGATTCCACACAGGACTCAAGCATCGGTCTCCGGCTCTATATGAGGATGATTGTCAAAGTTCACGGTGCAATGTTATGACATAATCCAATCCTACAACCTTTGTAAGAGAAAATCCTGGGTTACAATGATCTGGCATTAAGATTGCTGCACTTTTCTATGTTTCTCCAAATTCAGATCACAGGGAACAAGATGACGTCTCTGAACCTGGCCACCATCTTTGGCCCCAACCTGCTCCACAAGCAGAAGAACTCGGACAAAGAGTTCAGCGTTCAGAGCTCCGCCCGCGCCGAGGAGAGCACGGCCGTCATCGCCGCGCTGCAGAGGATGATCGCCAGCTACCAGACCCTCTTCATGGTCAGTCAAACAATAACCCTCACTTCCTCCTCTGTTAAACACACACAGTCACTCAAGCACAGTTTCTCTTTGCAGGCTTAGAGGAAGACAATCCCCCCCCTGGCTTAGCAGACAATGGTAGTGTCTTAGTTACTTTAAACAAAGATTTGGACAGTTTAATGGAGAGAAAGAAGAGAGTCAATAAAGGAAGTGAGAAAGGAATATTTGAGAGATGGATGATGAGTCAAACATCATCCCTGAAACACAAAGATAAACTCTTGCCAGCCGAGAATAACACCATTTCGCATGGATTACCGCCTCATCACCTGCTTTGATTCTCAGACACCGCAGACAGGCGGTTCAGGTCACATGAGGTCCGAAACCTAAAACCGTGATGTTTTGTAACCCTGCCATTGTGTTTCGCCCGAGGCTAACATTCCTGCAGTAAACCATTGTGGAGCTATTAACACATATAGTGAGTCAGGACTGACTTTCTCAGTCTTGAGTAAAAACAGATTCGTAAACAACCCAAGTTCTAAAAATAACACTTTGGACGTTTTTTCGTATACATCCTATGTCTTCATTTTAAAGCATTTAAGGGTAAAAATACTTCGTAGACAGTTTGGGAAATGTTCTCATATATACAATGCAACAGAGATTTAAGTTTGAAGCGGTTGGATTTCTATTTTTGCACATGAAAAAGTTGGGAGTTTCATTCACCTAAACTCAAGTAATCAAGTAACCCAAGTGCATGTTGTAATTGTAAAGTTGTTTAAAGCAGCTTCACTGATGTAGGTTTGATCCGAAACATGCATAGAAGTAGAAGAAACAGCAACTAAGCCACTCATTTTTGTACAGGTGCCTCCTGATCTGCAAAATGAGGTGTTGATGAATCTGCTGGAGACAGATCCAGATGTGGTGGACTACCTTCTGAGAAGAAAAGCATCACAGTGAGTTCCACACGAGCCGTTTCCCTCTCTTCCTGATTTTGCCCATTTCATCCTCATTTGTGTCTGTCTTGAACCCCAGGAGCCCCGACCTGCTGCAGTCAGACGACCCCTTCACTCTGAGCGAGCGCCATTCCTCCAGCGACTCCAACAAGGTGTCCAGCGGCGAGGTGTCCCCATACGACAACAACTCCCCCATCCTGAGTGAGCGGAGAGGAGAGCAGGGCAGCCCGGGCAGCGAGCCGCTCTTCCGTGCCCCAGAGCAGTTCAGTGTGGGGGGGCAGGTGGCCGGCTGGAGCCGAGAGTCTGGGGCCGACACTTGGGGAAGCAAAGGTAACTATAGAGTGATGGATAATCGGATTTTCATATACCAAATATACTCCTCTCAAAGGTTTTGGTAGGCATACATTAGAAATATTACGAAGCAAGCGGCTCTTACTCAAAAGTAATTTGACCTCTCTTTTGCTTCTCTCAGACGCTATATCAGAGGAGCATGCAAATATTTGGGGGACTTGGCACACTACGCTGAAACCAGCACTCAAAGAACACACATACACAGGTAAACCGTTTGCAGCCAGTCCAGTTTCTGTAGTGGTTGATGAACCAGAAAGCGCCTGGCACATGCCTCTGGGTATTTACTCTCAGGGAGGAACCAAAGGCTGCAGGGCATTTCAAATCAAGAGGCAGGAGCGAGTGACGAACGATCAAAATGTTCCTTCATTCAGCACAAAAACATAAATATCCTTCCATTCAAGATAGGGGGCGTAAAATAAAAGCATATACCTCTACATGTTTTGTGTAGTAATATCCCTTATTATTCATTAACTATGATTATTCCACTGATGTAGTTGATGTTCTGTTCCTAGGTTCCCATGGCAACATGTCAGAGGGGAGTTCACGCAGCTCGCAGGAAGGTCTCGACGGGCTCCATGGCGATGGCAGGCAGCAGATGACGCTCCACCGGACAAAGACGGCGCCGGGTGTCGCCGAGTGCCCGAGAACCCACCCCCCCGTCACCAGAGTGTGCACCAGCCCTCACATGACGTCACACCTCTACAGCACGCATCGAGCGAGTGGACTCACCGCAACCCCCAGGCCTCACGGCGGGGGGAACTCTGCTGACGCTCCTGGGGGGCTGAACGACAGCCGCTTCCCCCCCCATTACAACGCCCACCACCGACTGGCGGGCTCGCCTCCCGCTCCGACCCAGCAGCCCCTCCTGCACGGGAGGCTGACTGTGGCGCAGAGCGTGGCGCAAAGCATGGCCCCGGACAGCCAGATGGGGCCGCAGAGCCCCGAGTGGCAGGACTGGCAGAGGGACCGCTGGCAGATCTGGCAGCTGCTGTCCTCGGACAACGCCGACGCTCTGCCCGAAACGCTGGTGTGACCTCACAGCGAGAACTCAACCCCTGCAGAGATCAAACCCCTCCAACGACAATCAACCCCTTTCTTCATTTCATCTTTCAGCCTGCCTTTATCCACTCATGGATCCATGGATTTCCTCCTTCCCATGAACCCTCTGTGCTTCTCCTGCATCCTAGCGCCATGGCGTTGTTGTTTACGTGTGCAGCTGCTGCCTTATACAGACTTCTACATCCAGAGAGCCATTAGTATTTCTTTTTAAAAATGGATGTTGCTTCTGTTCCTAGTCCAATGTGTTGTGTTGACATGATGAGAATGCCCACAAGAAATACCTCAAAAAACGATAATTTCACCACGAACATACTTTCTATTTAGCGTGAGTAAAGTCTTCATATCTCAATGGAGAACAGTAGGAAAACACGTCTCTTTAGTTGGTTATATTTTCATTCTTTTATACATTCTTTTTCACCATACAGACACAAAGATGTACCCATTGATATTTGCTGCTAAGTGTAGATTCCTTTGTGTGCGTACTGGTCTTGTAGTTCAGCCAAACCTGTCTAAAAAGATCAAATGTTGAATTGCTTGATGTTTGATGTATATCGACACACATAAACAATATATATGTCAATTGACATTTTAAGTATATCATTTGCCAAACTACTAAGAGAAAGCCCTTTAAATGGCTAAATGTTGCAGTTTCTGTCTGTAATGTTGAATGTAGGATACTTTAACTGCTTAGCCTGATTATAAAGCACTCCGCTGTAAGTCTGCTTCTTCGTGCTCTCGCCACTCGCTGCACGACAGGAACAATGTGCCAAACTCTTTTTACTTCAGTGTTCATTTCATCCATTTCAGAAAAAATACTCAAAAGACTTAACAAGATAAAGAAATATGAAGTAAAGTAGCCCATGTAATCAATACATAAAGTGCTTTTTAATGGCTGTCATGTGCAAAGAAATACTATAATTTAATAGTATAAATAAGGGATACGGTTAGGATGTGATATCAGATAAAGCCAATTTTAGCCTTTAAAATCACTCCCGACAAAAGGTGTCTTAATTTGATGCATACAATCCTACATTGCAAATTCTGTTTAGTCTCCTAAGATGAACTCTAATGTATCATTCGTTGTTATTTGACCTAAATCTAGTTACATCAGCTTAGAACTACGATCCAGAACCACATTCCCCAAGTAAAATATGAGATCGTAACCTGATCCAGAAGCATCTCCACCATTTCTGACCACATCTTAGAACAACCAATAAAGTATGATGATATCATTACAATAAATTCACATCCAAAACTAACACAGGATATTAAACCTCTCATACTAGAGTTATTTTTCTCGGAATCATTACAATCCACAGAGATTTAAGGACTCACACTCCAACTAAAGTGGCAAAAAGATATATATTTGTAATTCTTATTCCAGGATTGTTGCTTATTCAGAAACACATTTTAAACACACCCACAATCCTGTCCAGATCCTCATAAATGTCAGTCAAGTGGGTATTTGCTGGCAAATATTTCACATTGTCATGGTGTAATATTTGCTATATGAACATTAAATCTAGAATATAATAATAAATGGACTTGTGTTACTCGTATGTGACTTTGAGTATTCAATGGGAGGAAGCCTCACAGTGCATAAGTGGAAGTACTGTGGTAAAGCTTATGGCGCCATCTATTGTCAGACCATGTGTATTAGCATATTGCTGCTTCCCACAATTCAATGTTTCAATGGGATCCATCCCTGCTCAGCTTAGACTCAATATGCTTGTGATTATAAGCACCTTTCTGTGTAAATGTGTAAATCTGTGTGAGGAAATAAACGTGCCATAGTCTTGCCTCTTGAAAGATATTTCTCCATGCAGTGCTCAAGGTTTGCATTTTGTGAATTTCTTTGTATTACTTTGTTTTTTTTCTGTTGAGTGTTGTAATATATAAATTCAATATAATACGATTTTTATTAAAAGGAGAAAAAAAGACAAAAAAGGAGGGACTAATCCTAACTCCTTGTCTTGTTGACCTCACTAAGAGAAACTTAGTGGTCTTGTGTTTATTGTGGATATTTTCGGTGGGGTTTACTGGGTCCAAGTTGTAATGGAGTGTCTGGTAATTGCTTTTGTATCGCGTGTCATCATCAATATGCTACAATGGAATTAAATATGATAAAGTTTACACCTGTTGGAGTCGATACTTGGGGAAAATGTATTAACCTTTAAAGGGGGTATCAGTTTGTAGTTTGATAAAGACTATACTATACTGTTTATAGATATGCAGCCACATACTGTAGTTATATTGCACACAACATTATTTATTTCTAAGCCAAAGCCCACGAGCAAGACACGTTTAAAGATCTCTAAAGAGCCACAAGAGTGCAGTAACTATCGATTAGTGGAGGTAAAGAGAAAATACACTTTGTACAGGGATAGTACTCAAGGTCAAGTATTTGGAAGCATTAACTTGTCACTTGATCACATTTGACGAGATAATTCAGCACATGGCAAGTATGGGAGCTTGATTCCTTCTTCATGTCAGACTGTTTTTAATTCAACCCATTCACAGAACAAGTCCAGGCTTTCCTGGGAACGCCACTTTCCAGAAAATATGACAAAAACACCAAAACATTTTGAGCTTTTTGTAGGAAAAATGTGTCACAGTCCAGCAGGGAAACTGTACAGTATCTGCCGAACAAGACCTCCTGTTGTGGTGGTCTGTATGTGGCTCTTAACCCAATTATTGTATGTGTTTTTGGCAGCTAAATTCAGTATCTTTTTCATTCCTTTGGGCAACTATCCTTGATTAAATGTGTCTGGGAAAAACCTGGAACATTTTACAGCTCTTACATCTGAAATCTGTGTAGGGCGTGTTGGGTGTAATGTGTTAACTATACCACTAGAGGTCAGACAAGAGCCTTGAATAACTGCTAGAAGCAGATACAATGTTTGAGATTGAGGTCAAATTAACACCTTTTTCTCTTTCCAAACCACATCTGATAAGGAATCAATTACACAAAAGTAGTTATAGAAGGTGTCAAATACAAGTACGTCTATGGTAAAGTTTAGAGAGAAGCGTTGAGAGAGAAAGGAAAGACAACGGGATAAAAAAAAGAAAAAAGGATTAACTGGATTTCATGGCTCTTGGTTTCAATTCTCCTCAGCCCTGCCTGATAGCATATTAAATCACCTCACAGACCCCCAGAGAAGGGAAATTAGCTGCGAGGTACCATTAGACACGTTGGAACAGGTAATGGATGCGTGTCTATCTGTCTGTGAGGGACACTTGCTTTCTCGAGATGGACCTGGAGAAATAATGAAAATAAAGTCAATTTAAACAGTTTCTTACTGAGAGCTTATCTGAGTTTTTATTAACTGAAACTTTGGAAACTTTGGAAAGTAATTTTGTTCGATCTTGAAATCAGACACTTCTATTTGTTGCATGTTTATCTCTCCTTGTCAGCTACCCTTTCCTCCCCCTTACTCTGAGGAAATCAATCCTCCACTGTGTCCCTCACAACACCAATTAAATCTTCTGCCGTTTACTTTCTGTTGTTTGAAACGAGCATGTCATGTTCTGCTCAAGGAGTTCCATGATTAATTGTGATCAATGAAAGCAGAGATACTGTACTCCGGCTGCGCTTCTTCTTCTTTTCTCTTTCATCCCCTTTTTGTCTGTTTTTTGGAAGGGAGCCTGGATTTAAATAGAATTTTGCGGACCATGACAACAAAACAAAGCCGCTTTATTTCAGTGGCTAATGACTTGGCCCGAAGTAACGTTATCCAGTTGGCCGAGCTAAAAGACAATATGCCAGAAAAATACACACGCACAAATAGGTATGCATGAACTCATCCACAGAGAGACACTTGTAATTGCCAGTACAAGAGTTCAGCCCCACTCCTGGAGCCAGTTAAGAATGAATGCATGTCGGTAAACAAAATGTGAATTTCGCTTTGTTTTAGCACATTGTTTTTATGAGCAAAACAATTGGAGCGCAACACGATTTTCTTACGCCTACACATGCAGAAACACATGGTCACACACATCTTGAAAGGAATTCATACCCACAAGGTCCTCATTATAGGCACAGTGGATTTATTCTCACCATGTGTTCCTTCATGCAGCCCAAAAACTGGCCTGGAGATAGAAATGTGAGGGAACGTGAAAAATGGGGTCTAACCGAGATATTAGCCCAAAGTCGACTACTTCCTGGTTCAACTGGAAGAATTGTTTGCTGCCAGAAGAAGGAAGTCTTCGAAGCCTCAACACGATGATCTAATGAGACAACATTTAAATGTCGTGCAGGTGGTAAAGTTCCCAACTTGAAAAAAGACCAGAAAGTAATGATAAAAAAGGATTACGCTTTATTCTCCCCGCTGTTTGTTCATTCATGAGTGTGAGTGCTGTAGCCATGTGACAGGAGGACACTGTCCAACCAACCATGACTTACTGATCTGCCCCAGGGACCATGCTGGATTTATGTATGTATGTACAGACACACACACACACACACACACACACACACACACACACACACACACACACACACACACACACACACACACACACACACACACACACACACACACACACACACTTTCTCAGCAGCCCATGCTTATAGAAAGTAATGACCCATCAATTAACCACACAGCTTTGTTCTATAAGGGAATGCTGACGGATAAATTGAGTCAATTTGTTATTTCCGTTCAACTGGATTTCTAACGAGGTCATGTTTTCTGTGCTGGCAAGCGATGCTCCCATCATGCAACTGATTGATTGGCCATTGATTCTGATCACAGTTTTGCAAATTAACAAATGCAGCAAACAGTTCAGACACTCCTCATCGCTCAATGCTTAGGCTCCGGTCAAGGTCGGACATGAATAAACAAATGGAGTGACCATGGCCTGCTGACACAAGTTCACACTGAAAGGTCACCAAAGTTGAACTCCAAGGGATTTGGAAATGCGTATTTTATTTGCTACTTGAGAATGTTTTCAATGCCTGCTGAATTGTATTGCCCTGATGTAGCGAGACACAAGACAAATTACTCTAACACCAAATGGATTATTGATTTCAGCCAAGTATTTTAAAGTCTAATGCAAATGTTTCTTTCTTTCTAGAGGGAACTGTGAGATTTTAGCCTTTGCAGACCATTTACATAAAAAACACACTACGGGAAAGGGAGAACCCCAAAAAGCTTAATAGGGCCCCTTATATTCCAGATGTGAAGACACTCTGCTGTCCTTTAAGACTGTCACTCGGCTCCACATCCTGTTATAATCTCTGTATTGACTCATGCTGTAGCAGTGTAAGGAAAGTGGGGAAGTCATTCATAAATTCACTGGAATAAAGTATAGTAGCTGAATTAAACATTTGTACTATAAATTGCAGATCAAGAGACCACTTCAGGGGCCCTTAAATGTGTCAGCTAAATCAACTCAAAATGTTAAGTTGTGTAATTTATCATAACATTTTAAATGATTCCCCCGCAGCTGCTCTACACATGTTTCTGTTTCAATTTCTACACATATTTCTTTCGGCGTGTTGCAAACATGTTGTCAGGCAGATTTCTTCTGTCTCCAAAAGGACTTTTTTGAAAATCCAGATGAAGTGAGCATCCAAGTGACGGATGAGCCTCTGAGCCTGGATGCCAGCTGGTTTCTGTTGAATCCTCTGCTGTGCTGTGTGCAGAGCTGTGATAGTGAGAAGGTCCTGTCTGTAGTTAGTCTCTGGCACATCATCACAGCGGACCATTTGGCTTCCATTTGCACTGCGGCGTGCGATACCGCCGCTCCAAACAGAGCTCCGCTGAGGTCACTTCACCCCTCGCTCACCTGCTGGCTTTTAAAGCAGGACACAGGGGCCGTTGCCATGTTGATGTGACAGCGCTTCCTCCTGGTTTCTGTTCTGGTTCTTGGAGAGGTTTGCAGGCAGATGTGAAGAACATTCACCAGAGATTCAGGTTCTTGTCAAGTGGGTTTTCAAGGAGAGCAGGAAGAAGAAAATGGAAATGTTGATGCCTCCTAAGGCTTAGCAGCGAAATGCTTCCTCCAGGCTATCTTCTTCTCTGAATATTATTAACCCTCTGGAGTCTAAGGGTATTTTCTCGATTTCCTTAAATCACCTTTTAAATGTACTTGTTATACATGTGTTACATATCAAAATGTCCAGGACAATCTCTGGTCTTGCTATAAATGCAAATGACTCACCTTAGAGCTCTGTGTGTTGAGATAAGTAGCTCTAAAGCTTAACATTTGAAATCCAATTTTCGGAAAATCTTCAAAACTCTTGTGAAAACACAAATGTACTAATTTCACCCAATTTGAACAGGTAGAGACAGCATAGTAACTTGATTATATGCAGACTGCCCTCACTTTTATTAAAGCCTTTCAAGATTATGTTCAGGGACAAACCTGAGGGGCAAATATCTCCTGACGCAGTTACAAACTCTTCTGTTGTCTCTCTCTTTGCCCTGTAAGGTCCCTTTGGATGTGTGCTATTGAAGCCCCCTGCCCTCATTCACTTATAATCAATGTGCAATCAGGTCCACATCTTATTCAGAGGCTATTAGGCCGCCTGCTTCAGTAATGGTCCGGAGCAGAGATAATACACTGGCTGTTATCCTCATCTCCTCTGTTGGGAACCTTTGCACACGCACGCTATTTAAAGCGCGCGCCTAATGACACATTATGAAAAGACATCAGAGGAAACGTACTAAAAGCCATGAAGCATTAAATGTCAAGTTCATTAAAAAACTGCTGCAGTATTTGAGCCGTTCTGTAATAACTGAGATACGCTTATTGGACCCCTAATGATGATTGGAGTACTTCTAAATATAGATCTGTATCCATTAGTGATATTAGATGGATGTCTCTGTGATTCAAACTTCACGATTTCAAGACAGATTGTAAAACTTGCCAGTGAATTGTGCTCGCTTTACTCGTTGTCATTCAGTCGAAAACAAGGACCTTCTGATATGCCTGACGATAGGAATAAGCCATGCATTATTCAGCGTGGTTAACATTATTAGGGATGGGGCGACTCCAAATACCACAGAGGTTTGGGGATGGAGGGGCAGCTGTTGTGAAAGCTTTTCTTATCTGAAGTTTACTTTGGTGAAGTTGAATTCTCCTGTGTGTCTGAGTCAGAGAGGAGTGAATGAGTGAGGGATGAA